CTGCGCGTCTCACAAAGCTGCGCTTGGGATCAGGGAGTGAGCGGACTCGCACCGAGGCCCGGGGCACCGGAGCGGCCTGTCCGCAGCTCCGGTGTGGGTGCTTTTGGGGTGCGTGTCTGGGGAGGCGCCTCCGACTCCATTGTTGAGATGGGCGTGCGTTTAGAGTCTGCTGGGTGCCTTTTGGACCCAAACTACCCTGATCCTAGCCACCGTGCCACCCCGCCCCAGGCCATCCCACGCTTCTCTTCCGGCGTGCACCACATCCGGTATGTGTGACTAGACCTCCCCGCTGCTCGTCTCCAGCCTAGTTCCCTGGAAAAGCCACGGCCCGCGCAGTCTCCTCGTTGTCTTCCCCTCTGGCCTGGCAGAGTCAGCTGCTGAAGACCTAGGAAGCACTTGCTCGTTTCTGTACCGCCCTGTTAGACACCCTATAGGCATGCGGTTGTATTTTATTTGATCTTGGATTTATGGATCATTTCTTGAAAAATGGTGGGGTCCCACTAGTGGTAGTTCCTACAAGATTTCTGTGGGACATGATCTGACCAACAGTGATTGTCCGTAGAGGCCTGTGCTCAGTTCAGTGTCTACAGTGACCCTTATGTACTTAGCTCAACTGGCCCTGGGCAATATAGATACTATTTTCTATGCTTTATCTTTTTATTCGTGGGTATTTGTTAAATAGAATAATGGATTTCATTGTGACATTTTCATGAACGCATATAACATACTTTGATCATAACTCCCCTTACCACCTTTTGGCATTCCCTTTCCCTGATTTCCTTCCTTTTCTTTAATAATAGTTTCATCTCTATTTTCAAGTTGTCTTATCATCTTCCCTAGATTCATTTAAGTTAGTTTGCATAGTTTTGTATAGTTTTTTTTTTTTTTTTTTTGGTCTCGTTTCAGAGGCTCCATGTCTTTTTTTACTGCATGCTAATTTAAACAAATGAATACAATCAACTGGCTTATGGAAATGAAAAGCCTGGGGCATATTTGCTTTCGACCTGGGCTTGATCTCAAGGACTCATGTTCCCGGCTAAGCTTTTTTCCCACGTGTGCTACCCTTTCAGGCCTACATGAGCGCCCAGTAGATCTGTATCCTCTGGCTCTAAGGCAGGACAGCATGTCAGAGAGGCATAGCAGAGAAGAAACTGTCTACCTCATGGCATCCAGGAACCAGAGAGAGGGAGAGAGGAAGAGGGAGAGGGAGAGAAAGAGAGAGAGAGCAAAGGAAGGAGCCTGGGAGGCAGATAGACCCTTCCAGGCTGTGCCCCCAGCGACTTGCCTCTTTCAAACAGATCCCACCTCTCAATAGCAACTCAACTATAAGACACATAATCCCAGTCACCTTCCAAAAGGCACATTTGAGTCCATGAGGCTTTGGGGGGACATCTAGATATAAAATGTAATAGTCCATCTCTGCCCACCCTCCAGGCTCACATTCATCTTTTTACACAAAATGCATTTAGTCCATCTGCAAGAGTTGCCAAAGTCCTACAGGTCTGGCATTTCTGAAAAGTCCAAGTCCAAAGTCTTCTCTGAGATCTAAAGCACTCTTAGCTGTGAGGCCCTATAAAATAAGAACATTAAACACTGCTCCTATACAATGGCATAGAGTAAACATTGCCATTCCAAAAGGAGGGAATGGGGCAATGGAAACCAATGGAACCAAAGCAAGACTGAAATTCACGTGGGCAAACATTAAATCCTGTTTCTCAGGGCCTAGAATCCAGGGCAAGTTGTGGTGAGATACAACTCCAAAGGGTTTGGGAAGCTCTGCCCCTGCAGCATTGCTGGTGGAAGTTGCCCTCAGTTTCTCTCTTAGGCTTTGCTCACTCCTTGTGTCTTTCTTGAGATATTCCATGTTTCTGGTGCTTTCAAACTCCTGGGGTCTCCACTGCACTTCGAGCACCCCTCACTCAGCTTCATGAACTGCCTTCTTGGGGGCCCACTGCCTGGCCTCTGAAGCCTTCTTCGAAACTTGAATAGAGAAGCTTCCCTGACCCCACAACTCTTGCTTTCTGCATGCCTGTAAAACCAGTACCATGTGAATGTCATGAAAAGTTTGCCACCAATGTGAGAAATAACCAGGCCCCCTTCAATCATGGCTGCAGACACTTCTGAGTGCCTGAATGGCTGAGCTCTGTGAACCCAATCCCAGAGAGTCAATTCTCTGGGCTGTAGTTCTTGAGGAAGGTGTCCTGGGACCTTCTCAAGGCAAAGTTTTTCATTTTTATAACTTTGAGCCTGAGAAGGGTAAGGTCCTGCTGGTTCCTGTGAGGCTCTTAGCCATCTTTTTAAAGCTTTTTTTTTTTTTTTTTTTTTTTTTTTTTGCAGCACCCAAATTCTCTTCTGTCCCATTTTTGCAGGCACTTCTTTTCTGGTGAACTGAAAACTTTTCAAATCATCTTTTTGCTCCTGATTTTCAGTATAAAATTGGCCAAGGCAGAAACTAGTTTCCATGCTACAACCTGAATGTTAGACTGCCTTGAAATTTCCTCTGCCAGATTAGTTAGTCCATCACCTTTAATCTCAGTCTCTCACGAAGTCTTAGGACATAAGCAAAGTGCAGACATTTTCTGCCAGAGCATAATGCACAAGGCTGGAGTTCAACTACCAACGGAGTCTTTGTTCCCAACTGAAACCTCCTGAGTCTGATTTTTTTCTGTTTGCCTTTTTATCAGCATTCTGGTGTTCTAACCTCTGACCAGAATGTCCCATCAAGCTTGGCTTATAGCCTTCTAGGGCTTCTCCAGCTGGTATCTCCAGACCTTTCCAAACTCCTCCTGCAGACCAGTTTCAAAGGTTCTGAATCACATGGCTAAGTAGCATCACAGATGCTACTTAGATGATCCCACTTCTCTTATACTAAAGTCTTTCTTAGTTCCTTCTTCTCACTGAGACATAATACCCAACACACAAAAATTAAAGAAAGGAAGGTTTGTTTTGGCTCACAGTTTGTAGAAGTTTCAGTCCATAGTCCTCTGGCTCCAAGGCAGGACAACATGGCAGAGGAGCATGGCAGGAGAGAAACTGTTCACTGTATGGCATCCATGAAGCAGAGAAATCAAAGGTGGATCCTGGGAGGGAGATAAACCCTTCCAGGTCACACCTTCAATGACCTGTCTCTTCCGACCAGACCCCACCTCCTAACAAGTCAGCTGTAAGGCCACCTTCCAGGATCAGTTACCTTCCAAAAGGCCCACCTTTGGGCATATGAGGGTTGGGTGGAGGGAACTAGAAGTAAACTGTAACATGAGGCCATCTGGCTGGCAGTTGGGAGGCTATACGGAAGTGTAGCTGACAAGTGAAAGCAGAGTTGAGAGAGACAGGTTTTTGTTAACGCTGGAAACTAATACAACGCTGGTGTTGCAAGTCTGTTCTGATCGATTCCCTACTATTTTCAAACAAATGAAAATTAGATTTTTCTGTCCCTTGCAAACAACAGTCCTGGCTAGCACAAACTCCTAGCGCAGTACCAGGCACACCAGTTCCTGTAAAATGGGACACTCATCATCATTATGTGTCTGACCACGGCAACTACGAACAGAGTGAAATGAAGCTGTGCAGTACATTAGCTCACGGCCTTCATCTCCCTGTTTTTCAGCCTGCTCATGTCTTGGCTTCCAGGGAAGCCTCCAAAATTAACTGAAAGTGGAACTCACCCGTTTTTTGTTTTGCTAATTTTTTCATTAGTATATGTTTGCAGACACATCCATTGCAGGGAACCGGTACACATACACACCGCATTTTGACACTTTTTACTTCCCCCTTCCACTCTTTGTCTCCCGCATTCCCATATCTCCTTCCCATATCCACATATCTCTCTGTTTCCTATCATTCATCTTTTTTTCTCTTTAAATTATTGCTCATATAAGAGAAACCATGCAACACTTGACCTTTTGTATCTGATTTATTTTGCTTAACACTGGCTTCAAGATGTACCCATTTGAACCATCTGAGTCATTTTACAGATGACTCACATTTAGCCTTCTTTATGGCTGAGCAGTACTCCATTGTGAATAAATACCATTTTTTAAATTTGTTCATGAGCACAGAGGCTGCTTCCAAGATTTATTGTGAATTGTGCCGCTGTAAACATGGGAGTACATGTATCACTGTAGTATTGTATTTTAACTTTGGGGAAGATACTCCAAAGAGATGGCTGGGTCAGGTGGAATCTCTAT